AGTCATTACCAGAACATCAAACGCTGCACAGAACGAAAAAGTCACTGTCGAGCTGCATCACTGTTGTGATCCTGGAGAGATTCTGGATGATGGATTTGGACGAGAAGCGTCAGTGACTCAGCGTTTCTGTTGGAGGTTCTTCCTGCTGCACCTGCAGCGCTGCTGCCCACCTGGCTGCTGCTGCTGCTGCTGCTGAGGCTGGTTTCAGGATTCTTAAAGGGGAAGGGGAAAAGCACGCTCACCTCTGGAAGATGTCCAGGCGTCGAGGAGTACTTTAGAGATAAACTGAAGAGGATGACAGCAGGTTAGAAGACGGTGGAAGAAATCGCAATTTACAGCTTAGTGAGAAACATGATAAGGAACCGAAGTTGGGTGGAATGTTAAAAACAAGACATGAAGCCGCTTTAATCTCCTCCATTCGTCTTTACGTCTCATCTTTCATCAGCTCTATGCGTGCACAACAAATCTTTGTGGTCAAGTTTGCCTGATGATTATTTAATGAAGGCTCACTTGAATGTATGTGAAGTCTAATGAAATCACCAGAGTCCTCTTACTCAGACCGACCTGTTCTCATTCCCAGGACGTCAGCTGCTGCCATTTGACATTCTGGTGCTGTCAGATGCATGTCTTGATGGAATCTATAATGGGGTCAATGCGTGGATGTAAGTTGAACTATACCCGATGAGTTGATTTCTGTCTTGAGGAGCTGTCACAGAGAGATTTAATGAATGTATGGTTCCAGATGGAGCAGAGCTGTTGGATGATTAGAGGAGAAAAAGATGACGTCACACGACCGGGATTAAAATAATTTACCCCCCATCAGTCACTAGGTGGCGCTCAAGGTTGCTTTAATGTAGTCGGCCCGGTTCCACATGTTAAATAACTGGTTTCAATATTTTTTAAATGCTGTCCGAATAATGCTGCAAACGTGTCTCCCAGGTAGATTCCTTTGATTGAATTATTAACGTTTGTGAGGCACAGCTTCAGTGAGAGACGTCTTTCAGGCAGAAGAACAGTCAACTAAGGAAGTTTTCGTCAGTGGTGCCTCAGTTTAAAACAGTTTCAACTAAAACCTATAGCCTGAAATTATTCGTACTCATGCCAGCTTTGGTTTTAAAGTGAATTTTTATTTGACCATGAGGCTTCTTTTGCTTGGAAATGACAAGAAAGAAAGTTGGTATGACATTGTGCTGCAGATATGAATGAAAAACTATTCCATTATTTTTTTACACCTAGAAATACCCAAAAACTACTCAGAAATATTTCAAGTAGTCAATGACAAATAGTTCTCATGAATGCTAACCATCTATTTGCGTGTCTCGGCTGGCGTTGTGGCTCGCTTGTCTTTTGTGACGATCTCCAGTTCTGTGAGATTGGACACATTCCTTCCCGTCACTCGTTCACAGGTTCTTGATGGGATTCAGGTTCTGACTGGTCCGCTATGTAACGTTGATATTGTTTTGCTTGCATGTTTTCAGAAAACTGTCTTGCAGGACAACAATCTGCCCAAGGACAAGTTTTTCATTCAGTTTTCATTCAGACGCCGAACATTGTTCTCTTGCCCACTGGCTGAAATGCATCCTCCAAGTATTACTTTTCTACCATTTCCACCACGGGGATGGTGCTGTTGGGGTTCAATGCTTCTGTTTTCCTTCTCCAAATAAAAGCCACGTCCCTGAGTCCAAACAACTCCATTATTCATCTCATTCGACCCCAGAAATTACGACTAAAAGCTTTCTTCTTTGTCCAGGAGAGTTTTTTGCAGAAGCTAGTCGAGCTATTGCATTCCTCTCCTCCTCGCTCGGTGTCCATGGAGACCGGCCTTGTTCAGCGTCTGCTGGAGTGCCTGCCTGGAGATGCTGATACCGGAATTGCTCAGATTCATCAGGACACAATTAGCACTTGAAAACCCTCGAATGTGGCTTTATAGCCTTTCTCTTTCTTGTTAGCAGCCACAGCGCACGCCTCCGTCTCAGTGATGAGCTCTAATAGCGGTTCTAATTTTGTGGTTTATTCGGATTTAGCGGGACCTTTTGGAATCGTACAGGAGGTGGAAATCATTTTAGGCATGGAGTTTTTATTAAAAATAGTTTTAAAAAAGTTTATCATTAACATTTTAGCCTGATTGTTTTCAGGCTTTTATACGATGAACGTATTAATGAGACTTTTTGTAAGTAAACGTCAGTAAACTGATCAAGACAACAGATTTATGAACTTCTTCTCAACAGTTCTGGAGTTGTTGCTGTTGAAGAAATCTAATTTTGTGTCGGCATTAAATCCTGCATACATTTCTATAGGCAACTGTATTATATTTGCAAGTTCAGAACAGCACTGTACAAAATGTACCAGCGGTGTGTTCATAATGAGACAAAAAGTCACCGAGGTCAGTCGCTCATTCATTTTTCATACTCGCTCTGCCTTTATTGAATGGCAATATCCTTAGTTATACTTAGAAAGTTTGGATATTTGATTTTTCTACTATTTCTAATGTCCACTTTTTGTAAAATGATATATAAGTAATTTAAAATATTGTCTGTATAGTGTCTGACTGGTATTTTCCAATCTAAAAAAATTGAAAAATGTAGTAGTTCAGTTGGGTAAAGTTTTGTTTTATTGCAAGTTACTAATAAAGGAGGGAAAAAAATCACTGGCATTAGCGAGGTAGGTTGTTAAGACTGTTATTGAATAAATATGAATCCTAAGTTAAGCAATATAATGCAAGAAATCTGCACATTTAACCCTCCTGTTACCTTCAAATTTACCTTTGGTTCAATTTGACTCCAGCAATTTAAACCTCCAGACAATATCCATCCATCCATCCATTATCTATACACCGCTTAATCCTCACTAGGGTCATGGGGGGCTGGAGTCTATCCCAGCTGACTCAGGGTGAAGGCAGGTTCACCTGGACAGGTAACCAGTCTATCACAGGGCTACACTTAGAGACAGACAACCAAGCACACTCACATTCACACCTACGGACAATTTAGAATCACCAATTAACCTCAACATGTTTCTGGACTGTGGGAGGAAGCTGGAGAACCCGGAGAGACCCCACGCTGCACGGGGAGAACATGCAAACTCCTCCAGAAAATGTTGTATTTAAAATTGTTATCCAAGTTCATGTGTAAATAGTCCTTTAAATAAAACTGGAAAACATGTCAATCACTTATTTAGAGATGTTAAACATTGATTGGGGTCAAATTGACCTCAGGAGGGTTAAGTGAAGTAGATCTAGGATTGGCAGTGGTGTTTTATAGGCACTGGTAACCAGTGTGAGGTATGGAAAAAACCATAGTGGTGTTTTTTTTCTCCACATGAATTATGCATGAAAACACTTTAAAACTGTTAAAAGTGAAGTTTGAGCTCTTTCATTTAACTGAAGGGTGTAAGAGGCCGAAGGTGAACGCTGCTAGAGCTCCACTCCTGAGCTGCAGAGAGCTGCTGGATGCTTTTGTGAAGGATTTTTGGAGGCCTGAGGTGGTGAAAAGGATTCAGTGTTTCTCACAATGGAGTAAAGCAGAACATTTTACCAAATAATCAGAAAGAGGTGTTTTTTTTCTGATATAAATAACTTTTCTTTCTGTGGCTGCATCCAGTGAGCAGAGAACCAGGCTGTTTGGGCCGATTCTTTATTCTCTTTATCTTTTTTTTATTACACCATACATCTAGATTTTCACCTTCAGTGTGAAATTCAGGACACAACACAGTTCGGCAGCGTGTTATTTCGTAAACTTTATGTCACTTATTCTCAATAGAACGGTTGAAAGAGCTACGACTGAATGAGGTTTTTGTGAAACAGCTATTTTCAGGACGATAATCTTTTAAGAGCTTCACCCACAGCGCAGCAGCCTTATCTGGTGCCACCTGGTGGTAGCAGCGGGGCCAGGCTCTATCGCTACGAGTCTGTTATCTGTTGGCCACAGAGTCGTGACACCAGAGCTCGTGCTTCTGAGGAGTTTGGGCATAAACGCCTGTCAGACAAGGTGCTCTTGCATAATAAATGAAGCTTGACGACTTTGTAAGGGCCCCGTATCGAGTTCCTCCAGACTGCATTGTGTGCCGTCCCACTGAGGGCCACGTTTAACCTTAAATGCTTCTTTGCCCTACTTGTGTTAACAAAGACAGAGGATGTAAGGCCGCCTGTGGGGCTGTATAGGCAGGCTTTCCATTCCATATAGATATATTCTTGTGTAGTGACACTTGCCATCATCCCTTCCCTGAATGATCTATTAATTACAAGAGATGACATGAAGCTGATCATGAGCGATCACATCTGTAGACAGAGTGACAAAGACGAGTGCATCTCCACTAAACTGAGTCAGTAAACACATCTCACACGCAGGCCATTGTTTCTATCTGATTAAGGTGTCATTGCAGGGAAACTGTGGGGAAAAAAACCAGTCACATTTGAGGAGTCATTAGGCACCTAATGTATGCCGTATCCATACACAGGCGCAACCCGTTTAGTCAAATGGTTTGCAAACCATTTCAACGGCGGCATAAAAAGCCTCTTTTGCCTTGTTGCTTCAGTAAATGTCTGCTTTATCTGCGACTTTACAGTCTTCTCCCCTTTGAAACGAACAGCACATAATGTGTGTCTGATGAAAGACGCCGTATCTCAGCGGCTCCGGGACTGACGTCACTTAATGTGCCCGGCCTGCATTTTCCCCCCTTTCAGAACAAAACAGGAGCAGCGGCGGCAGAGCTTCTGGATGTGCAGCCCATTGTCGGATTAGTGGGAAGGGATGACGTCAGAGCAGCTGTGATTTACCTCCGTCAGACACTGGGTGGTGCTCGGTGCTGCTGGAAAGCTGTTTTCCCCACTTGTTGGATTTTAATCTTAAGTCTCATCTTCACCACATTTGTATGAATAAATGCATCTGGATGTAAATGGTTTCATTTCAAAGGCTGCAAACTCGCCCGAGGACACGTTTCTGCAATATAGACACACTCCTGTAGAATATTAAAGCCTGTTCTTAAAATAACAGACAAAACAATCAGTCTGTAGAGCAGTTTATTAAGATGGAAGACATTCTGAGGGACAAAACCAGTAAGACATTGCATTGATTAGCAGTGATGATCTTTTCCAACATTCCAAGGCGTTGCGTTATTGAAGGACTGATTCAAACCTTTATGCAAAGAATTAATGTAAATACACGTTTAGTCCTTTTAACCAGAGTCCTCTTGCTCTTTCTTGGACCTCTTGTCGAAATCCACAAAGAACTCGTTGCAGGCGACGGTCAGCGCGGCGACCAGGACGACGAACTCCTGGAAGTCCACCTCGCCGTCGCCGTTCTCATCCAGGTCTAGCATGATCTTCTCCACCACGCCGCACTCATTGGAGCCCTGGAAGAGAAGCAGGATGAAAAATGTAAATTTGTTTAAAACCCTCAATGACACACCAACTTCCAAGCCTTAAAACGCCCAGGATGTTAAGCTAAAGTGCCCTGCCACGATAACTCAGACTATAAAAGGTAATGCATCAACAATAGGGCCTCATGCCAGAACCAGCTGTACTGAAAATTAGTGATTTAGGACCATTTGTGGCAGACCTGTTGTGTATATTTATGCTTTAATCTCTCCAGTTTGCCTGCAAGACAACCATCAGTAGAAATAAGGCTCCATACATGGATATGAAAATCAAACATGTTTCATTTCATGGCTTGCCAATGGGGAATATTTGGATTTTATCATTTTTTATTGGGCATATTTTGCTCAGAAAACTCATCATTGGATGTTGGGAATGTCTCCCTATGGTAGCAGCATTACAGCTTTTATGCAATCATTGTCTCTTGCACCTGATGATATTACATCAGCTGTTTAGGCGCTCTGAGCCGCTGCTGAGACGTTCAGCTTTCAGCTACGAGCGATTTCAGAGCCTTTCAGAATATGACGACATCAACACACGATTTTATCAAAATATTAAAGGAAGCTGGAGGCTATAAATGGCATTGTGTGCCATTAGAATCGGGTGGTGTTCTCAGCTGCTGTGCATTTAATAAGTCACTGGTTGAGTTGTTCCAATGTGGTCTTCAAGGTTAGCTGTGTGGCGTCGGTTACCATGGCGATCCCTCTTGGTGGTTAACTAGCTCTGTTTAACCCACTAATCTCAGTTTATAGCATAGACTGTATAAAAGATGGACGTAGCTACCGTGACGTCACCCGTTGGTTTCTGCACTGAGAAAATGAAGCCAGGGTTTTGCTACTTCCTGGTTGACATCTTGGATTTTTGGAGCCAGTCATGCAAAAATCATTGGAGGGGGGCGGAGTCATAGGAGCAGCGATTGGTCAGATGGATTGAGAGGCGGGCCCTCTCTGCCCCGCCCACATTTACCGCCTTCTGCTCGCTTCGTCTGCATTGTCGCTGCCGACTGTCAATCAAGCCGGCCACGCCCCTTGCCCCGCAAAATGTTGACGATTTTTTAAAAATTCAGTATTGAGTTATTTTCAGATTGGTCACCTGATCTCTGGATTTGACTATGAAAACTAATAAAAACAAAATCCTGAGCTGTAGGAATGCAGTATTTCGTGATCTTTCCAATTCCAGTCTATGGGAGCCAGGGCTTTTTGGAGCCAGCAGCTAGTGGATGTAGTGATATTGCAGGTTTTTGACACTTCCGGGTTGGCTTCATTTTTCAGGGTTGGTTGCTACGTCCATCTTTTATACAGTCTATGGTTTATAGCAACAAGCCACAGTTGCCTGTTTAGTTGAAGCTCTGCATGTTCAGATGAAACATTATTCTTGGTGACAGTTTGGTTAAAAAAAACAAAAAAAAACGGTTTGATTTTCTTGGTCAGCCGACAGATACTCACTGCCAGGAAATCTGAGAGCTCCTCCTGCAGCAAATTCTTCAGCTCTTTGTTGTTGAGCTTGTACTTGTCACCTTCCTTCGCAGAGTAGCGGTGGAACACTTTGATGAGGTCCTCCATAGCTCCTTGCAGGTTGGCACACATTTTGCAGTCCTACGATTTAAAAAAAGGCATTGAAGGACAAATTAAAAGCCACCATTTCGAACACATTTTATTACTTTATGGCGAGCTGGAGACGGGAGGAAACTGTTTATTTGCTGAAAGAAATCCTTCGATGTGCGCCGGATGCACACAAGAGGACCAACAGCCTCCATCACCTCTATGAACTCTGCTGCAAAAAAAGAAATCCTTGTCTGCAGGAAGGTAATGACATTTTTTTCCAGTAGGACACTGGAGAGAAAAAAAAAAAGAATCATCAGGTTGCCAAAGATGTAACTTGCAGGAGTGTTGAAAGATGGTTCACTGTTTTCCTGTAAATGTTCCCTGCATGTAAAGCAGACTGGTGAGGGGGGGCAAGGGAAAGACAAAAGAGGTTTTACAGGGGTACACCTTCCTGAGCAACCATGTGCAACCAGGCAGCAGCCGAGGTGCATCTTAACTACGTTTCAGCTTTCAGGTTCATTGTCAAATCACTGAGAACACAAACTGCATCACATTCTGTCAAGGCTGACTTATTCTGCACAGCTCCTCACATTTAAACAAAAATAAACTGATCAAGGCATTAAAACTACACGTTTACTTTTGCAGGAAGTTGGATTGGGTTTATAGAAACAGCATATTTGTCGATCGGCGTGACTTGATAGCACAAACACAGGAGCCAGTCTGTCTGCAGAATTCATATCTTTCTGATAATCTTGTGTCCAGAATTGTCTAAACCTGTTCTTCTAAGGGCGAGATTGTGGAAGCAAACACTGTTGTGGCACAAAAACAGAACTGTGTGACACTAGCTGACATGAATCCTAACATGCTCCGGCACTCTTTGATAGACTTCCCCTGCATTGTGTGTTAGTAACCTGCTGGAATAGAGGGAAGTAAAGCAGGTAGAAAACTTGCAACGGTTTCCTGATTCATTTGCTCTTTCTGATTAAACACATTTGCTGTGCATGTATAGACCAATGCGTTTCAGTTTCAGAGAACATCAGTTAATTGCATAAACAACTGATGGAGGTGAACAGAAGTCTTGGAAAATATGGAAAAAGCTGCTTACGTTTTGCAACTTATTGTGTTTACCGCAAACTTTGCTGAACTCTGCTGCTGCCAAACTCCGCTTGAGGCCAGCCAGGATGCACATGGGTGAGGGTCAGGAATGATAACCGGAGTTAAAGCAGTTTTAAAGTCTAACCTTACACCTGCCCTTCACCGTCAGACACCTGAGAAGCAGGTACAGGGGAGCTGAGTCACTTCACCTCCCACCTCCGTGAACCGGCCGAGGACAAAGGACAGACCCCTTGCAGGGCACATAAAATAGATCTACATCGTGGCTTGCGTTACGTTACATAAACGACCTGATGCCTTAATGCCGAGGCTTAACCCCCGGTCGCGTTTCATCAGGCCGGCGGCTTTGACGGCTCTCTCTAGCCTATATGAAGAGCGCCGCGGCCGCATCAATAATGCACAGCTGCTTGTGTTGGAGAGAAGAGCTGCAGTCTGAGAGCACAATACGCCACATCGCTTCTCTGAATGACGCGCAGCCAGATTCCTCTAATTATTCTCAATGATTGCCCGCTAATCATTTATTCCAGGCGCGATCGGGGGAGCTAATTAAAAGCCTTTTGAATATCAAACGCAAAGCTGGCGTTAATTAACTGTGACGGCGGCTGGAGCACGAGCGACAAAAAAAAAAAAACAGACAGCAGACGACGTGAAAGTAAAAGAAGAACAGAAATGGCAGAAACTCACCTGAACGCTGACTCTGACAGGTGTCGGTGGAAGTGGCTTCAGCTCCTGCCTCGTCTGTTATATGGGCTGCACGCACCTGTGTGCAGGTAAATCAGAATCAGATAGGCGCCTCCCTCCTGGCAGCAGCCAGGTGAGAGCTGGAAAACGCCCTCCCCTCAAAGTTCAGCACCTTATAAAGTTATGTTGTTGGGAGAAACACGACTGACATCTTTTTATATCCGAGCTGACAGTCATGATCACATCTTTGACGTTGCACAGGGGTTTTCTTTTTATTGCGTAAAACATTTAAAGTGAAATTAGTCTGTAAATTTTTTAGGTTTTTAGAGGCTATTGTGTGCAACTCATTAAACAAATCAACATACAAGATCTTTTTGTCTTCCTTTTTGGTTAAATCTTTTTTTTTTGTTAACTTTATGTTCAAACCAAAACACTTCAACTGCAAGGTCAATGTGCAGGATGTTCTGGGCCTTCGACCGTCATAGAAGAGGTTTAAATATCCGTAAGCCTCGACTGTACGTCGGCTTAAAAGTTACGACTTAGAATAAATTCAATTGCGCTCTCAAACGCAGTTGAATAAAGTTTAAGCAAATTATCCATGAAATAAGCTCGAGCGGTTTCGTTTCCTTTCTCCTGTCGCGGCTTCTCCCCGCGCGCTGCCTCGCTTCATTTTTATTAGGCTTCGCTCACGCTTGTTAGGTGTGACTAATGCTTTTTTTTCTCTCTCTCTCTCTTAACGTCATTTGCAAGTAAGGAAATGATTATGCTTGAATGACAGTGCGGCTTCAGTAGCAACACAAATTAAGCGCGGGCCTGTCAGCTGAAGTTCTCCGAGTCGATTTGCATCGGTATTTGCAGGTGGCTTATACGGCGTGAAGATTACGGATAATTGCGTGCTTCTAGTTAGAAATTTAACTGGGACGCCGAACCGAAGTGCATTTGATAACAAAGTCATGGCAGGTGAGATCATCTGCTGAAGGATGATGCCTTTCTGTAGAATATATATGAAAACTACAATCGGCTCATTCAAAGCCACTCGAGTTCAAGAATATATTTTGTGTTTCTGAATTCAATATTTGGCTATTTCATTAAAGAAAACTTCAAAGTCTCTCAGACCAGAGGCAGATAAAGCACTTTGACTTGATTAAATGAAACCGCCTGGATGTGTGAGCGGAGAAAAAAACGAGCCTCTCATCTCTCATTAGCGTGAGAACCCAAAGCATCCATCTCTGATTACTGATTAGAGTTGATCTCAAAGTGCAGACATTCATCACATTTTTTTACCAATCGTGTCTAAAGCGGTTATGTTTTTTATTAAATTACACAAAAACACACACCCAGTATTGTACAGAAAGAGTTTTACATTATACAAGCCATTAGAATGAGTCACATTCTGCACTTTTTAATATGAGACGGTACACTAAAACATCAAAAACAACATTAGAATCAAACACACGTTCCATGCCAGCATGACTGTATATATAGAAATCCGTCTGTTTCACAGTGTAATTCACATATGCAGTGGTGAGCATCGGTGTGGCCTTTTTACTCTTCATTAATGCAAATGGAGAGCGATTTGCCAGCCTGGTGACATGTTGTGCTTCCAAAAAAACATCCCAAGCTGCGTGCTGTCACATTAATCATTCTCACTCTCTCTCTCTGCAGGGAACCGACGACCGTCAGCGAGGAGAAAAAATAAAAAAGGTGTCAAGGGTGTCATCTGCTGGTCATCTGGGAACTCTGCCGGTAGCATGTGAAGTCAAGGTAAGGTGCTCACTCATTACAGGAGATGGAAGGAAAAAAAGGGTAAAACATTTAACATTAAAAAAAAAAGAAAAGAAAATCTAACATGCCCTCCAAAAAAAGAACAATCGTAACCTTCATGACTAAAGTCTGAGCTCAACTCAAACCCAATTCACTGATAAGTAACACAATAAAACTGCTGTTGACCAAAGTGCTGAACAAGAAAACATCGATAAAGGACACAGTATGCTTGAATCATTACAGTATAAAAAGATGGATTACAGAAGGAAGAGGTTTACATTCACATCTGCTGTTATTTTATTTGGTATTTTTTGTCACTTAAAGCAGCGATCTCCAACCACCGGGCTGCGGACCGGTACCGGGCCGTGGGTGATTTGGTACCAGGCCACACAGAAAGGAAAATAAAAAGTTTTATTGTTTTATTTTTATTTCCAGGGCAGTCTACAGGATGTTTTATTTGGAAAAAGTGCAAAATTGTCTTCCCGTCACTTCCATCTGTGCTTGTTTTTCAGTTTTCATGCTCGCTGTTAAACGAAGCCGTCATACCGAAATGTATAAAAAACACAAACGTCTCTGAAGAGCTTCTTTGGAAAGTGGGAGAGACTCAATGTTGAGACAGAAGAAAACATAAACAAATATTTAACATGTAGTTCTATTTGTGAAACTTGTTAATAGAAAAAAATAGTATTTTTTGCTATGTGTGCAATGACCGCTCCGTAGAAAGATTTCTTGTGTAAAACTGGTCCGTGGTGCAAAAAAGGTTGGGCACCACTGACTTAAAGGTTCAAAACTTCTACTGTATGTGACATATGTCTGCAAAATAAGATGCTTGCATTAATAGTTTGAAGTGACAAGTCAAGGCAATGTGCTTTGGACTCGCCCCCTAGTGGTCAAACATCTTCTCATGCATGTTTCAAATACCGTTTAAAAGCTTGTGATATGGGTTTTGCCTGCTTGTTTCATGTGTTATTTGCATATTTAAAAACAAGGGAACCTATTATTAAGCTATTAAAAGCAATGACATTCAGACATTTGGCAGCAATTACACTGATTGCTTCCTGGCTGTACCTGTAGTATAGATGCATTTTACTTTATTCTGCTTCAGGCACTTGAAGGACCACAGTCTAGGCTTTTATTAAAGACTATGAGCTGGTTATAGAGCATTCAAAGAGCTGATACAAAGTGCAGGATTACTACCAGTTCCCCAATTTCTAATCCTTTGTACAACCTTTTGCAATCACTTGTGTCGCTATTATACCGTCTGTGTGGCATTTGATTTGGCCCTGGAACATCACAGTTGGAGCATTCATGATCTCATACCTCCACGGGCCGAGGCTGTAACGGAGCACAGTCCTCTCACAGTGTGGCACCTGTCACCGCAGCTTCCCGTGCCCTCTGCTTGTTATCCAGAGTGCGACATGGGAGATCTCATTTGAGCCGGCCTTTTCAGCGCCTGTCAGCGGGGCACCTGGCCGGAGACGCTCGGAGGGGAAAGCGGAGCAGAGGGCATCAGCTCGGCCCTCGGGGATAACATGACAGGATGCCACGGGCAGGGAGGGATTGGGTTTTTTTTGTTTGTCATCGTAATGAGGTGCTGGCTTTTGCTTCCAGGTTGGCATAACCCACACCAAAAAGGTCACAGGCCTTTACTGAGAAAGATCCTGAGGGAGTGTGGACATTTGTTCAAGCTTAAGGTCAAAATGCCACCACAGGTATTTGGTTCTGATTGGACCGTTCCACGTCGTTCCAGTTCATATTCTCTTTTGGGCGTTTTACTTCTTTGTCGTCATGAGGCTCAGCTAGCTCTGGCATTCCCTCCTCAATGGGAGGCCTGATCACAGAAATCCCTCCCACGGATGAGGTTCTGCTCTTAACGCTGTGCGTCCCGTCTCGGGTCATCTTGGGCTTTCCCAGGACGCTCCTCAGCTGGGCCCAGAAAAACGCCTGCTGGTTCACCTGCTGGGGCCACTCCAGGTACGTCTTGGTGCTCAGCATCTTCTTCAGCTTGCAGTACTTGCTGGGCAAGGAGCTCGGATCGATGGGCTCCTTGACCACCAGGATCACGTCGCTGAAGGTCTTTCCCATCGCTCGCTGCTGCGCAAAGTACAGCTCGTAGTTGCACCACTCGCTGTTAACAAAGTGCCGAGAGAGGACGAATATCACCTGGGAATGAAAACAAAGATAGAAAGGAATTAAATCTCACAGTAGCATTTTGCTGTCATGCTTTCTCCTACAGAGGATGTGATGAGCTATGGGTTGCTATGAGCTATTTAAAAGCATGCTTTGGATATTAGGGAGCTGCACAGAATGGATAAAATCACTCGTTTATTGAGCTGATCAGCGAGGGATTGAGCTCGAATCTTTCCAACGCCCTTTTAAGACGCTGAGCCACATGAATGACCACCATAGGCTGAGTCCTGCCAGGGGTGATGGACAGACCTCAGAAAAACATCAGCATGTGATCCTTACGTTACAGATTTAGCTTTACTTCATGTATCAAGTGGTCCTTAAGAAGTAATAAATACATTTATGACTCTTAAGAATGAATCTCACAATAGTCATCAGGTTGTGGGGCAAGTTTTCAGATCACCAAATCACCTGTATTGTAAATAGTGCATTTGAGCTGTAATTGGAGCAACGTACTGTTTCAAAAGAACCTCTTTTATCTTTCTGCTTTGCTGATGGCAATTTACTGTTGTGATTTATAGACGTACTCTTTGTCTCTTTGAGCCAAATTGCAAAAAAGTGGGTTTACTGCTTCTTTAGCATTTGATGTTTGCATTTCTCCAGATTTCCCAGCTGTACCTCTAGAACCGTTTTCCTCAAGTAGCGTTAAAGGGGAAAGACAAAGAAACAACAGGAAGTTCAATGACAAAATCAGGCTTTATGTTTGGGCAAAGCCAGAAGTTAAATGGGGAGAGTTGGAAGCTTAAAGTTGACTGTCGTTAAAATTAAGTGTTTCAATAAAATGATTGTATTATAAAATGAAGTACATCTAATTTATATGACTCAATAATTTTGGATCAGTTTGATTCAGTTGCATGTTACTAGTTGAAGCAATTTAAATTGATCAGTGTACGGTAACTTTGGGAGTTCCCAGAGGAGAAGTTCTGGGTTCTCCTCATCCAGTTGGTTGACTGATGATGTTCCCACCAGCTGTCTGCCCAATCTGACAGGTTTTACTTCCTCTCAATCTTTTCCCAAACACCTCATCTCAAGGAAATGATGCTCATGCAAGTCTTCTTTACTCTAGCAGCTGGTGTGCTGATGTACACCGATGTAAAACTGCATCTCCGTTACCTTACGACTGCTCTCAATGTTGTCGATGATGTTATCGATGATCCACTTTCCCGGCATGAAGTCCCTCTCGTGAATGCACAGACGATAGGGGTTCCTGTTTTTCTCCAAACACGGCAGGAGCTGGTCCCTCACCCAATCGGCGTCCGAGTGGCTGTATGATATGAAGGCGTGGTAGGTGAAATCCTCCACATCCCCTTCGGCCTTCTCCTTGTGAGCTCTGTACTTGGCCCTGATGATCTGGTACGTGGCTTTGGTGTACCACGGGAGGTCAAAAATATAGCAAATCAGCATAAATATCAGGATGACTGCTGCCGTGGTTGCAACACAGATGATGATGACCAGTCTGATGTCACAGGCCACTTGACCCGGGAAGAACTTAGCGACGACCGTGTTGAGCAGCGCCTCCGGGTGGTAGCACCGGTAGTTCCAGGGCCAGTCTGTGAGATTGACTCTCCTTTTGGAAAGCGTGTCCTCGACGAAAGCGCGAAGCTCACAAGTGCAATGGTAAGGGTTGTTCCCCGCCCGAAGGCGAGCCAACTGGGGCATGTCCTGGAAGGACGCTTTGCTAATGAGGCCAAATGAATTCCCGTCCAGAGCTAGGGACTGCAGTGATGGACTTTCCCACTTGGATGGGATAAACTTAATTTTATTCCCACTCAGCAGGAGGGTTTTCAGGCTGGTGGCTTTGTTAAAGTACGTCATGTCCAGCTGGTCCAGGTTGCAGTAGGACAGATCCAAGTACTGCACCGTGGTGGGCAGACAGTTAAGGGCTTCGCTTACAAACTGATTGTGGTGAGCGATGAGCCGAGTGATGTTTTGTTTCCAAACGCAGTCTCGGCTTGCTTCAGCGGATCCCAGTTTGTTGTTGCTAAAGTCCAACACCTGCAGCTGCCGGAACTCCCTCGTAAGAGACGACATGTCCTTTAGACTGGTTAAGTCATTGTTGCTCATGTTGAAGGTGAGAAGGTTTGGCATGGTGCCCCTGTAGTCGCATCGCTGGTTGAAGATGAACTCATTCTTCAGTCGATTGTTGGAAACATCCAGAAACTTCACACCTTCCATCTCGACCCAGGCGTCGCAAGGTACGGAGTTGAAGTACACGTGTCGAATGGACAGCTTCTTAATTTTGTTGAACCAGGTGAAGCGCCAGTCAAATCGCAGCACGTCTGGGTTGCTGATATACCTACAAGACATGGAGGGTTTTAGTGTGTTGTGTGCATGCAAATGGGAAGCAAATTCCTCAACAGTGTTT